CCGAATTCCCCATTTTTTCTTTTGCCCAAATAAAAACAAAGACTGCACAACGCCCGGTCGACGCAGTCGACCGGGCATATAGAACATCCCTAGTTGTGTAATTAATTATGATGCTTTGTCGTGGTAGTAGTAGGTGTGTTCCACTGACTATACATAATTAAATGTCGGACTTGTGACTCCGAGCTGTGAGTTAAGCACATGATCAAGTCTGCATAATGTAAAGTCTTATTATTATTGCATAGCAACACTTTGCGTTAATATAACTATAAACTAATAATTTACTATTACTATCTATCAAACAACAAGTTTATATCTGCGTAAATACCACCTCTTTGCTGCTTCTAGCTCTCAATACTTTTGAAACGCACAGCTTCATTGTTAATGTTTGTTCCAGTTTTTCTACATATTGTATAAGGAATCATATTAACATTATCTGAACAATTTCTAACAGAGACTCAACAGCCCACCTTAATCGTGCAAGCGTAATTGGTAATTAAGAAATTAATGCTAGGAATTATTGCTAGCTCACACTTGGAAACATTCCCTTTCCGAAACAAATACGCGTATAACCGTATATCTTTGGCTCGTAAGAACAAACTTTGGATTTCAAACTGCGAGTCTTTTCACAAGAAGCTTGCATAGCAGATAAGTACTTCTATTATTATGAACGCAGTACATGAATAATTCCATCTGTATAATATATTGCATTCGTGCTAACTTTTTTCTAATGTAATATTCTAGTCATGTGGCGATGGTTTCCCTGTTGCGTATCTGATCGGGAATTAATTTCTTTGTTAAAATCTGTGTTAAGTGAAAATAATATATTCAAGTTTTTTTGCGACGTTTACTTTGCCGGTGCGTAGCACAAATCAGTCAACTTTGTCTTTTTTACGCATTATTTCGTCAGAATAGACCCGCTGAAAATTAAATTCTTTAACGTTTACCGATTAATGCAGACCTCAAAGATTTTTGTCTTGATTATTGGACGCGCTGCACGAACTAGATTGTGTGTGACTACTTTGTAATTTGTACATTATTACGAATATTTATGCAAATTAAGCGTATAATTAGTAAAAAATATTTATTAAATTAAGTAATTAAGGTTAGAAAACAAATGCACTCAAAATTATAACTTGTTAATACATTGAAAGACTTGCGCTTAAAGGTGATTACTAATTGTTTTTCCTGGAAAAAGATTAACTTAGTCTGAAGTAATTGCTTTTATTTAGCGGTATCCGAGAAAAAAGAGGTGGAAACAAGCGGTTATAAACCATTATGAGCAATTACTACGTAGACAAATACATTATTATTGCGACTAAATAAATTTGTTAAATAGCGAGATGCTAAGAAATTTTAGTAAAGAGAAATAAATGACATGTCGTACCGTAATTATTACTTGAATAAGTTAAGAAAACTTTAAACATATTTGTTCTAAGTTGGCAAACTAAGTATTGAGATTTTGTTAATCGTGTAGAACTGGCCTTTTTCTTGTCGGACATTCATCGGTTTAAGCAGTTGGATGAATCTTGCATCGTTCTGCAATGCAATTTTACAGATTTAATTTTATAACGCATAATGTATATATTACGTTTGCAAGAATGTTAAGAGATAGAGATTTATTGTTTACAATTACACCACTTGTTTGTTATTCAAAATACGTGTATTACGTTAAACTGTTATCATGTTATTACGTCTGTCACTTTCGAGAATAATGCTTACAAACAAGTACTCAATCCATTGATTCGGTTGGTCGATCGTTGTTTTGACTTTCGTTTCAAAAAATTTTCTTTGATAAAAAATTAGACAATTCTAAGAATTTGTAGGCTGTAGTAATAAGTTTGGTACACCATCTAATTTCATGTGTTACTAATAGCAAGTCGTTAACAAATTGATCAACCAATCTCGCGTTTTATGCTCTGACAACATCTTATGCAACGTTAACAACGCTAATTCTCGTACAAAAATTGACATGACGTATTATCGAACGCCCCTTATGCCGTTTCAAATCAAATAAGGATAAACCACAAAACTCAAAAAACAGTTTGAGGTTGGTAAGCAATAGACAACCATGTAAGAAAAATATGGTAAAATAATACTACGGTCTCTTTCCGGCTAAGTTTGATATTTAATCCATCGATTTTTAAATCGCTGGATAAAAAAAAAACGCTTGAACGTTTGCTCTATTTGTGTACAATTTCCTTACCCAGAGAAACTGTATAATATACTGATTGCAACGTTTCTAGGTCAATGCTTAATATTTTATTGTCAAGTAATACGTATACCATTATGTCATTAGCATGTTAACTATAAACGCATGAACAAACCATACATAGAAAATGTAAAAACTGAAATGTTTAAGTATTTTTAATACAATTAAATTAAATGTTGTGATTACAAGTACTAATAAATTAACTCAACAAATGACGCAAAGTTTCGATAATTATTTCGTCTTAAATGCATACACCAAACGCAAAATTTTTTTAAAAAACGTCTCATATTTATGACAAAGTAGCACCAATATTAGAGTATGACAAATAAAAGTAACTTTACCGTAAATAAATTAATCGTTGAAAAAATTTTTTAATTTGCATTGTTATACTTGTAAAATAACTTACAAACGTTGCATAGATGTTTTTGATTAAACTGTCAGAATTTAGTTAAGCATAAGTGTCTCGTAGGTACAAACTTGTGTGGAATGGTCTTCGACGCTACAAAACATAATATTATACTCGAGACTAAGGTTTTTTTACACATATTGTATTGTGTTTGGTCACCCATATAAAAAGCATGGCAGCGGTAAAATTTGGAAAGTAAGGACCGTAAGCTCCATTAAACGAGCTCACGTTTTGTGATGCTTTATCACAAGTTTTAGCATTCAGATTTTGCATATTTATATCACCCTCTTCCTCAGGGTATTGATCGAAAATTTCGCTATTCAAACAATTAATATTATAGAATTAATCTACGGTCAGGCTACAGTTATTGAAATGTTAGTAAAATAATGACATACCCATCGATTTCTAAATCGACACCACTGGATTCAGATTCTTGTTCCTGGTGTAAATAATCGCTTTAATAATATTTTTAACTTCAGTAAAACAGTGACAAAAAATTCGTACTCTCTGCTGTACTCTTCACGCGGCCGCTGAGAAGCGTCAAATTGATTGAAATAAAATGCCTTTGATAATTCAGAAAGTTAGATGAAGGGTATCGTTAAAGATTAAGCCAGTCAAATATTCAAAGATACGTCTTCATGTGATGCTTTTCGTGTTAGTTTTGTCTTTGGCTTTCTCGGTCTATATCTATAGAGATATCCCGAGATTTCAATTTTTCGCATGCGCACTCTTGTCATCTCTCAGTAATAATAGTACGATGAAAACTTTTTTATTGACCAAACGTTTGTAATGCGCGTGCTTTTATAAACTAATATTTTGTACAACTTCATTGTTATTATCTCGCACTTGAACCTATTATCACCCAAATACATTATCAATCGAACAATACTATTGTTCGAGTATTTTATTATTGTTATCCTGTCTCTCAATTGAACAATATAATATTAATATTACCCGAGTATATCATTATTGCCTTTTTGACAACATTACGTTTGTTATGCTTTGGAACTAACTACTATTAGTATCTGGAAGATCTCCCGATTGACTGTCGATGTAATTAAATATATGACGTTCGAAGCGACAAAATTGTTTACTTCCAAAATTTGACGTAGCGCAAAAGACAACGAGTTCTTGAGCTCCAAAAGATAAATCGGTTGGCAAACTCGGGCATGTTTATCTTTAATAAACACTAAACTATATCGGACTAACGGTTATGTTAATCGATGTTTATTAATTTTGTCCCCACTTCTTTATCTTGTTAATAACTCATTTCTCGATATAGTCTCAGAACATGAGGTCGTACATTAACTGTTTCAAATATTCGATACAGATTGTGCTAACTCGACCCTTGCCATTTGCTTGTTTCTTACTCTTATGAATCCAAACCTTATTTTTCTTTTACCCTTTCTCTCAACCTGCAGACTTTTATCCCTCGATTCCAAACACACTCATCGTTTCTTTTCAAGGGCTTTTATAACATTGAGAGAGAGAGGCCATAGCGTTAAATATTGGATGTTGATCTGAACAAGGATATAACTTTCTTACCATACGCGCCATAGAATGTGATTGCATAAATGGTCCTACCATCATTTATCTTTATTAAGAGATAAAGGTAATAAAAGATTTTAATATCCGACACCCAAAGTCTTAGAAACTTTGAAAACTTTAAAACTATTATGAGCCTACAAATCGCTAGATTATCGATCCCAAAATTAATGAAATCTATTTTAATAAACAGAATAAACATCCCCCAAATTTCAGTTGGCGTATAACGAGTAGTTTAGCTTGCGGATCAAATTAAAATACGAAGAAATATCTAGCACGTTCTCACCCAGAAAATTAATGATATTAATATCTATTATCTACAGAAACGTAATTGTCTTACTGCTAACCGAGACGTGATTGAATACTTAGTTGGAATTAGTAATTCTAATGTCATGGCGTCAAGTCTCTTTACATCGGATTTTGCATCATTACCATTCATTAACGCAATTATCCACTTTTCGAGTGCTTTAACGACGAACTTCCGGAGGCTTTCACACATAGCCCTATCCTTATTGAGCTCCATCTTCACTACACCAAGCAACGGCAACCGCAGAATATTTCTCCACACATAGTCATCAACGAACTCGGACAAATTACTATTCAAGATTTCATCCCTGCCGTAGAAAATTGAATTTTAGTATAAATCTCAATTCAATGAAGAACCCAACATATTAATATACAATAAATGTATTACTCACCCGTATCTCTCTCTGTATTCTTGCTTACTTGGTACCGAAGGTTGCTTAGTACATTCGAAATTTTTTCCACTACGTCCGGTCTGCGGGATGCGATTTAGGATTTCTGAAGCCATGTTTTCGAGGAGCTCCGCTGACGTATTTCTGGTATGTAAAAACAGTGCTCTGGCTTCCACATACAGACGATCTTCTATCTCACGCTATTACAGATTGCCAACATTAATACTA